CTTTTCTTACTCTTTGATCATTTTTGCTTCATGGACACCTAATTATCAATTTGTACCTATGGAATACTAAATCCACCAATTAAAACAGAAATATAAATTAGTCCATCAAAAAATCCACGTAAACGTAAACGTTGAGTGTTATTTCTACACTCCACTGTATCTTTTGTATCTTGTGTTTTTGCTGTTGTTTGGTTATGCGCATTAAAGTCCTAGTGTTGTACTCCGTGTTTTTAAGAACGTTGTTGCGAATGCACTTTTGCGCAGGTTTTTCTACACGTTTGTGATTGTCCATTTGAGCGAGTGTGTTTGTGCATGTTTGTTGATTTGTATTAAAGTCCTAGGAGTGTAGTTTGTGTTTTCATGATCATTTTTGCGAATGTTGTTTTGCGTGAGTAGTTTTGTGCATGATTTTGTACTTTAACTTATGTGCGTATCCTTTGTAGTGAGTGTTTTTGTGCACGTTTCTTGATGCGCATTCGTGTCCTCGAACTGTAGCGGGTATTTTCATGATCGCTGTTGGAATTTTAATTTTGACCATGTTCGAGTCCGAATTTGGATATTTGACATTAGACAGGAATTGTAGCCACCTGAAATAGCTTTCTAACGCCGCCGGAACCAGTCGATTTGGAGTCCGGATGAGAAAGTTATGCTCGACTTCGTGGACACTACCGAAGATGTTGAGGGATCCTCTCTTCTATTTTGATTTTATTTTCCTAATTGCAACTCTTTTCTTACTCTTTGATCGTTTTTGCTTCATGGACACCTAATTATCAATTTGTACCTATGGAATACTTAATCCACCAATTAAAACAGAAATATAAATTAGTCCATCAAAAAATCCACGTAAACGTAAACGTTGAGTGTTATTTGTACACTCCACTGTATCTTTTGTATCTTGTGTTTTTGCTGTTGTTTGGTTATGCGCATTAAAGTCCTAGTGTTGTACTCTGTGTTTTTAAGAACGTTGATGCGAATGCACTTTTGCGCATGTTTGTTTACACGTTTGTGCATGTCCATTTGAGCGAGTGTGTTTGTGCATGTTTGTTGATTTGTATTAAAGTCCTAGGATTGTAGTTTGTGTTTTCATGATCCTTTTTGCGAATGCTGTTTTGCGTGAGTAGTTTTGTGCATGATTTTGTACTTTTACTTATGTGCGTATCCATTGTAGCAAGTGTTTTTGTGCACGTTTCTTGATGCGCATTCGTGTCCTCGAACTGTAGCGGGTATTTTCATGATCGCTGTTGGAATCCAATTTTGACCATGTTCGAGTCCGAATTTGGAAATTTGACATTAGACAGGAATTGTAGCCATCTGAAATAGCTTTCTAATGCCGCCGGAACCAGTAGATTTGGAGTCCGGATGAGAAAGTTATGCTCGACTTCGTGGACACTACCGCAGATGTTGAGGGATCCTCTCTTCTATTTTGATTTTATTTTCCTAATTGCAACTCTTTTCTTACTCTTTGATCGTTTTTGCTTCATGGACACCTAATTATCAATTTGTACCTATGGAATACTAAATCCACCAATTAAAACAGAAATATAAATTAGACCATCAAAAAATCCACGTAAACGTAAACGTTGAGTGTTATTTGTACACTCCACTGTATCTTTTGTATCTTGTGTTTTTGCTGTTGGTTGGTTATGCGCATTAAAGTCCTAGTGTTGTACTCTGTGTTTTTAAAAACGTTGTTGCGAATGCACTTTTGCGCATGTTTGTTCACACGTTTGTGCATGTCCATTTGAGCGAGTGTGTTTGTGCATGTTTGTTGATTTGTATTAAAGTCCTAAGATTGTAGTTTGTGTTTTCATGATCCTTTTTGCGAATGTTGTTTTGCGTGAGTAGTTTTGTGCATGATTTTGTACTTTTACTTATGTGCGTATCCTTTGTAGTGAGTGTTTATGTGCACGTTTCTTGATGCGCATTCGTGTGCTCGAACTGTAGCGGGTATTTTCATGATCGCTGTTGGAATTTTAATTTTGACCATGTTCGAGTCCGAATTTGGATATTTGACATTAGACACGAATTGTAGCCACCTGAAATAGCTTTCTAACGCCGCCGGAACCAGTCGATTTGGAGTACGGATGAGAAAGTTATGCTCGACTTCGTGGACACTACCGAAGATGTTGAGGGATCCTCTCTTCTATTTTGATTTTATTTTCCTAATTGCAACTCTTTTCTTACTCTTTGATCGTTTTTGCTTCATGGACACCTAATTATCAATTTGTACCTATGGAATACTAAATCCACCAATTAAAACAGAAATATAAATTAGACCATCAAAAAATCCACGTAAACGTAAACGTTGAGTGTTATTTGTACACTCCACTGTATCTTTTGTATCTTGTGTTTTTGCTGTTGGTTGGTTATGCGCATTAAAGTCCTAGTGTTGTACTCTGTGTTTTTAAAAACGTTGTTGCGAATGCACTTTTGCGCATGTTTGTTCACACGTTTGTGCATGTCCATTTGAGCGAGTGTGTTTGTGCATGTTTGTTGATTTGTATTAAAGTCCTAGGATTGTAGTTTGTGTTTTCATGATCCTTTTTGCGAATGCTGTTTTGCGTGAGTAGTTTTGTGCATGATTTTGTACTTTTACTTATGTGCGTATCCTTTGTAGCGAGTGTTTTTGTGCACGTTTCTTGATGCGCATTCGTGTCCTCGAACTGTAGCGGGTATTTTCATCATCGCTGTTGGAATCCAATTCTGACCATGTTCGAGTCCGAATTTGGAAATTTGACATTTGACAGGAATTGTAGCCACCTGAAATAGCTTTCTAATGCCGCCGGAACCACTTGATTTGGAGTCCGGATGAGAATGTTATGCTTGACTTCTTGGACACTACCGCAGATGTTGAGGGATCCTCTCTTCTATTTTGATCTTATTTTCCTAATTGCAAATCTTCTCTTACTCTTTGATCATTTTTGCTTCATGGACACCTAATTATCAATTTGTACCTATGGAATACTAAATCCACCAATTAAAACAGAAATATAAATTAGTCCATAAAAAAATCCACGTAAACGAAAACGTTGAGTGTTATTTCTACACTCCACTGTATCTTTTGTATCTTGTGTTTTTGCTGTTGTTTGGTTATGCGCATTAAAGTCCTAGTGTTGTACTCCGTGTTTTTAAGAACGTTGTTGCGAATGCACTTTTGCGCATGTTTTTCTACACGTTTGTGCATGTCCATTTGACACTACACCAAATGAGCAATTTTCTAACACCACTATTTTATGATTTCTAACGGATATATTCGTTAGTAATTGCTAACACATATATCCGTTAGTAATAAAACTTACGTGTTAGTATTTGTAATAAGTCAATTTTATTTTATTTATATTTTGTTCTAACGGACATAATGTTGGATTCTAACGAATAATAAGTTAGAAATATAGCTACTGTTAATAATTTATAAGTTATTTATATTAAATATTTTGTTCGTAAATTAATTATTTTAACAATAATAAACCAGAGTTTTTCAAAACTATATGAACACGTGTTAATATATTTGTCCACACTATGCACATGATATTTTTATTTTCAAATACTGGAGCAAAAAAAATTTTATTTTTATTTTTAAGATACAAATAATCAAATTCTAATTTATTAAGATAAAATTTCTTTTTTTTTTCCTTTTTTTATTTTTATTTTTCCTGAATACGTAATAAATAAGTTAAAACATATAATTAATAACAAGTTAATAGGAATATTTATTTAGTCAAATATATATATATATATATATATATATATATATATATATATATATATATATTACAGAAACCTTTACGGCTATACCCACACCCTTGAGTATTATAACTTGAGATCTCCAAATCTCCAAGTAGAGAACTCACGGGGCTGCTCCTTTCCCCCAAACCAGTCCCTCTCTTCCACGATTTCAGCCCCTCAATCTTCCCCCCCCCCCAAAATTCCCTCTCGTCTTGCCTCTTTTATTTTCCCCTAAATTATTTACTGCCTATTTCATTCAATTTCTACAAGATTTTTCCTATCCATATCTTCTGAAATTTGGGGCATGAGATAACATATAATTCAGAGGATTTTCGAATTCATAAGAGAATCCAGAGAAATTGAAAGCAAATCAAAGGAAAAGGGAGCTAGGGTTTCAATTGATAAAGAGGATAAATCGTTAATTGACAGCCGATTCGGTGGAGGTTTGGCGAGCAGGATACATCGTTAGGAAGCCCTCGACATAAGCTAATTTTCCGGTGGTGGTTTACGGCTGTTGTCTCAGGTGTTGGTGGTCGCCGAAATTAGAGGTAATTAGACTTTGAATTTCGAATTCATTTCTTCTAGAAAGTTGTAGAGCAGACCAAATTTTGTAGGGATAACTATTTATCCCCAAATTCAGACTATTAACGAACTAGAAAACCAATTTTAAGCAGAGTTGGAACATAAGGAATTCGTGGCTACTACCGTATTTTTTCGGGAGTTTCAGTCAATCATCCATTAGTGCGGGTAATCATCATTTTTTTCTCCTCGCCCTCATGTTTCCTATTTTTTTCCACATCCCATTGTATTCAATGTTTTTTTTGTAATTTATAGATTTTATGATTTTCTTATATATTGAAATTTCCCTTATGGTTATTTTATTTTTAAAATTGATAAGTTCTCTGAAATTACATGCTATAAATTTTTTTGGGGTTAAATGGTGTCTGATATTACATTCAATTTTGTAGAAATTGGAGTTCTATGGTAAATTTATATAAGTTATTTTTTTATATAGCAGGATTCTTTATGATCATAAATAGGTAATGGATGTATGCAAGAATAGTTCAAATTGTAGTATGTGAGTTTATAAAGTTTCATTGCTGTGCAAATCTTCTCTCCCAGTAGGTTCATTATCTCTGCTGCAAATTTTGTTCTAAATTATTTATTTTTAAAAAGTAATCTTTATGTTTTAAGTTAGTAAAGATAAAAGAGGGAAAAATTTTGGGTCTTATATTGTACAATTTGTGTGGCAGGTTTCGTAAAGTAAATTCGAAATTTCAAAGATGACGTTTGGAATGCATTGATGGTAAGGTTTTATTTATACGTTGTTTTTCAAGAGAATCTTGAAACTGTCTTTACTGCTTTTTAATGTATTATATCCGTTACTTTTTAAGTGGAATGGATGTTAACATAGAACATGTAGTAAAGAAAAAAAGATTTTGGTATATAATGTTGTAATTATTCTGGTTGTCTGTAGGGTGAATTCGAGCTCGATGTTCCACCACATGTTGCTCGTCCATTAGCAGAGAAGACATGGTCTCAAAAGTTTTGGACGCACGAAAATTCGTTAAGGGTAATATTAAAGAAACATGGTCATACTCAAGCCGAGCCAAAAGGTATTGATCCAATTATTTGGAGAAAGTTCGTGGAACATGAAATGGATCCAAGAAAGGTGGACCAAATTGAAAAAAATAAGAGTAATCGAGTCAACTCACAGTTTTCTCATTGCCTTGGTCGTCGCACTTATGCTCAAAAGGAATATTTAATGGTTTGTATCTTTTATTTATTTTTAACTTTTATACTATTTTTTTTGCTAATTAATAATGTTACTGTTTAGCTACAAGAAAATCCTTCAAGATCGATTACTCGAGCTGAGAAATGGTGAGCAGCACATGAGCATGTTGATGGGACTGTCTTAGAGAGTGCTAAAAATAAATATGTAAGTAACTTTTTTTAAATTTTTAACATGTTATTAAGATTGAACTTGTTTATTATCTCAAAAATCTTCTTATTTGACTATAACAGGAGCAAGTAAAAGCTGCTGCAAATAAAAGAAAAATCCAAAACTCGAGTGGAGATGAAGGTACAGAGCCTTATGATGACATTGATACAGATGCGATAGCTGAGATGTTTGGAAAAGAGAGAAAGGCAGAAGAAACAACTAACTCATCTTGGGATAGCAAAGTCAAAGATTCAACAAAATGAAAAAGCTCTTAAAGATGCTAGTGGTGTAGTGTTACTAAATAATTTGCAGGGCTCAGAAGAAAGTATCTGTTATTGGAGATTGAAAGAACAGTTGGAAAGCGATTCAAGAAGCCGAGATTAAGAAGATAGAGGTAACAACTCATATGTGTTAGTATATGTAGATATTTTGAATAAGTCATTGGGTTGAGTGTATGTATGCTCACTGATTCCGATATTCATCCGATATTTCATTGAATAGTTTATACTTTGATTTCCTTGTTTTGTTATGGTAGAAACTGGTGAGATGTTTCTTTGTCTTTGTTTCATATATGTGTGTTGTTTGGTGTTTAATATTTTGTTGTTTTATTTATATCAGGACTTTTGAGTTCAACCTTGGCAGGGCTCTGGAGTGTATGTGTTCTGTTTTAATTGCATTCACATGAATTGTTTTTTTCATTAATGTATATGAATGTTACTATAATGGTTGATGGTACTTTTAATTTATAGAGTATTGATCATTTGATACTTTAGGTTGAATTCTTTATAGAGTAGCAGGGAATTTATTGTAATGAACGACTATATTTATGTAATTTATATTTTATTATTTCCGACCCATTTTATAATTAATTACTATTTTCAGTAATTATGATTTTTTTTTTTTTTTTCTATTTTTTCTAATGGATATATCCGTTAGGAACTTAGTAGAAGTGTTACAAACTTAACCGTTACAATGAATTTTCTAACGGACAATAAGTGTTAGCAATAATTTTTTTTCTAACGGATAGTTTTATTTTTCCTAACGGATATATCCGTTAGAATTTTTCGGCTCTGAATTTCTAACGCCATATTTTTAACGGTTTTTCGCCATTAGAAAAATTATTTCTAACGGTCTATATCCGTTAGAAAAAGCCCTTTTTGGTGTAGTGTGAGCGAGTGTGTTTGTGCATGTTTGTTGATTTGTATTAAAGTCCTAGGATTGTAGTTTGTGTTTTCATGATCCTTTTTGCGAATGCTGTTTTGCGTGAGTAGTTTTGTGCATGATTTTGTACTTTTACTTATGTGCGTATCCTTTGTAGCGAGTGTTTTTGTGCACGTTTCTTGATGCGCATTCGTGTCCTCGAACTGTAGCGGGTATTTTCATGATCGCTGTTGGAATCCAATTTTGACCATGTTCGAGTCCGAATTTGGAAATTTGACATTAGACAGGAATTGTAGCCATCTGAAATAGCTTTCTAATGCCGCTGGAACCAGTAGATTTGGAGTCCGGATGAGAAAGTTATGCTCGACTTCGTGGACACTACCGCAGATGTTGAGGGATCCTCTCTTCTATTTTGATTTTATTTTCCTAATTGCAACTCTTTTCTTACTCTTTGATCGTTTTTGCTTCATGGACACCTAATTATCAATTTGTACCTATGGAATACAAAATCCACCAATTAAAACAGAAATATAAATTAGTCCATCAAAAAATCAACTTAAACGTAAACGTTGAATGTTATTTCTACACTCCACTGTATCTTTTGTATCTTGTGTTTTTGCTGTTGTTTGGTTATGCGCATTAAAGTCCTAGTGTTGTACTCCGTGCTTTTAAAAACGTTGTTGCGAATGCACTTTTGGGCATGTTTGTTTACATGTATGCTTGTGCATGTCAATTTGAGCGAGTGTGTTTGTGCATGTTTGTTGATTTGTATTAATGTCCTAGGAGTGTAGTTTGTGTTTTCATGGTCATTTTTGCGAATGTTGTTTTGCGTGAGTAGTTTTGTGCATGATTTTGTACTTTTACTTATGTGCGTATCCTTTGTAGTGAGTGTTTTTGTGCACGTTTCTTGATGCGCATTCGTGTCCTCGAACTGTAGCGGGTATTTTCATGATCGCTGTTGGAATTTTAATTTTGACCATGTTCGAGTCCGAATTTGGATATTTGACATTAGACAGGAATTGTAGCCACCTGAAATAGCTTTCTAACGCCGCCGGAACCAGTCGATTTGTAGTCCGGATGAGAAAGTTATGCTCGACTTCGTGGACACTACCGAAGATGTTGAGGGATCCTCTCTTCTATTTTGATTTTATTTTCCTAATTGCAACTCTTTTCTTACTCTTTGATCGTTTTTGCTTCATGGACACCTAATTATCAATTTGTACCTATGGAATACTAAATCCACCAATTAAAACAGAAATATAAATTAGTCCATCAAAAAATCCACGTAAACGTAAATGTTGAGTGTTATTTGTACACTCCACTGTATCTTTTGTATCTTTTGTTTTTGCTGTTGTTTGGTTATGCGCATTAAAGTCCTAGTGTTGTACTCTGTGTTTTTAAGAACGTTGTTGCGAATGCACTTTTGCGCATGTTTGTTTACACGTTTGTGCATGTCCATTTGAGCGAGTGTGTTTGTGCATGTTTGTTGATTTGTATTAAAGTCCTAGGATTGTAGTTTGTGTTTTCATGATCCTTTTTGCGAATGCTGTTTTGCGTGAGTAGTTTTGTGCATGATTTTGTACTTTTACTTATGTGCGTATCCTTTGTAGCGAGTGTTTTTGTGCACGTTTCTTGATGCGCATTCGTGTCCTCGAACTGTAGCGGGTATTTTCATCATCGCTGTTGGAATCCAATTCTGACCATGTTCGAGTCCGAATTTGGAAATTTGACATTAGACAGGAATTGTAGCCACCTGAAATAGCTTTCTAATGCCGCCGGAACCACTTGATTTGGAGTCCGGATGAGAAAGTTATGCTTGACTTCTTGGACACTACCGCAGATGTTGAGGGATCCTCTCTTCTATTTTGATCTTATTTTCCTAATTGCAAATCTTCTCTTACTCTTTGATCATTTTTGCTTCATGGACACCTAATTATCAATTTGTACCTATGGAATACTAAATCCACCAATTAAAACAGAAATATAAATTAGTCCATAAAAAAATCCACGTAAACGTAAACGTTGAGTGTTATTTCTACACTCCACTGTATCTTTTGTATCTTGTGTTTTTGCTGTTGTTTGGTTATGCGCATTAAAGTCCTAGTGTTGTACTCCGTGTTTTTAAGAACGTTGTTGCGAATGCACTTTTGCGCATGTTTTTCTACACGTTTGTGCATGTCCATTTGAGCGAGTGTGTTTGTGCATGTTTGTTGATTTGTATTAAAGTCCTAGGATTGTAGTTTGTGTTTTCATGATCCTTTTTGCGAATGCTGTTTTGCGTGAGTAGTTTTGTGCATGATTTTGTACTTTTACTTATGTGCGTATCCTTTGTAGCGAGTGTTTTTGTGCACGTTTCTTGATGCGCATTCGTGTCCTCGAACTGTAGCGGGTATTTTCATGATCGCTGTTGGAATCCAATTTTGACCATGTTCGAGTCCGAATTTGGAAATTTGACATTAGACATGGATTGTAGCCATCTGAAATAGCTTTCTAATGCCGCCGGAACCTCTAGATTTGGAGTCCGGATGAGAAAGTTATGCTCGACTTCGTGGACACTACCGCAGATGTTGAGGGATCCTCTCTTCTATTTTGATTTTATTTTCCTAATTGCAACTCTTTTCTTACTCTTTGATCGTTTTTGCTTCATGGACACCTAATTATCAATTTGTACCTATGGAATACTAAATCCTCCAATTAAAAGAGAAATGAAATTAGTCCATCAAAAAATCCACGTAAACGAAAACGTTGAGTGTTATGTCTACACTCCACTGTATCTATTGTATCTGCGTTTTTGCTGTTGTTTGGTTATGCGTATTAAAGTCCTAGTGTTGTACTCCGTGTTTTTAAGAACTTTGTTGCGAATGCACTTTTGCGCATGTTTTTCTACACGTTTGTGCATGTCCATTTGAGCGAGTGTGTTTGTGCATGTTTGTTGATTTGTATTAAAGTCCTATGATTGTAGTTTGTGTTTTCATGATCCTTTTTGCGAATGCTGTTTTGCGTGAGTAGTTTTGTGCATGATTTTGTACTTTTACTTATGTGCGTATCCTTTGTAGCGAGTGTTTTTGTGCACGTTTCTTGATGCGCATTCGTGTCCTCGAACTGTAGCGGGTATTTTCATGATCGCTGTTGGAATCCAATTTTGACCATGTGCGAGTCCGAATTTGGAAATTTGACATTAGACAGGAATTGTAGCAACCTGAAATAGCTTTCTAATGCCGCCGGAACCACTCGATTTGGAGTCCGGATGAGAAAGTTATGCTCGACTTCGTGGACACTACCGAAGATGTTGAGGGATCCTCTCTTCTAATTTGATTTTATTTTCCTAATTGCAACTCTTCTCTTACTCTTTAATCATTTTTGCTTCATGGACACCTAATTATCAATTTGTACCTATAGAATACTAAATCCACCAATTAAAACATAAATATAAATTAGTCCATCAAAAAATCCAAGTAAACGTAAACGTTGAGTGTTATTTCTACACTCCACTGTATCTTTTGTATCTTGTGTGTTTGCTGTTGTTTGGTTATGCGCATTAAAGTCCTAGTGTTGTACTCCGTGCTTTTAAGAACGTTGTTGCGAATGCACTTTTGCGCATGTTTTTTTACATGTATGCTTGTGCA